CGCCATTATACAGTTGTTATTGTTGATGACGACAGAACTGTTTTTCTTGTTGTTGTCGTTGCTCTTGTTATTGTTGACGTCGTCAGCATCGCTAATAAGTACACCGTGGCAGTAACAGCCATTGTCGTCATGTTGATAGCATCACAACACACTAACAGCGTGAAGTGGCCTGAGAGACGAACGCAACAACAACAAGAACGAACGAAGACGAGCAGCAAGAGGCCTTCAGACTGCTGCTGCTGCTGTCATTGCAGCCACTTCACCATAGTCAATTGATGCGCTAGAGACGACTCGGATCACGGGGAACGTGCTCTGAAGGCATAGGAAAATCCAGACGGGTGAACAAGCGAAGATCGGTCAAATCGGGCAGAACACAGCGACGTCGAAAAAAAAAAGCAGAAAGAGAAATGACTGATGCTGCTGCTCGTGCCGTTGCTTCTTCTAGCAGTCAGCATTCCCTGTTGCGGTGGTATTCTCACAGCGTCCGAGTGGCGATTTGAGCGAATCGTAGCAACAGCAAACGAACGAGAACAGAGAAAATGAGGAAAAAGTAAGTAGAAGAAAAAAGAAAGGCTCAAGTAAAGAGAAAACGCTGATGATGACAAAAACGAAAATCCAAAAAGCGACCAGCGAACGCAGAATTGAGGAGATACCCACTACGAAAATACGAGTGCACCCAACGCTGTGTGGCAGTGAACGAGCAGATACAGACAACCGAACTATCTTCCAGAATCTAACCCCCGCTTGGCCCTGATTCCTTCTAAATATTTCAGTCCGCCTAGCAGACGCACTGAGTGACTGTCCATAGAGTATCGGAGTTCACGGAGAATCACTTTACGTTTAAGGTAGAGTATATTATTATCTCTTATTGTTGGTATTGTAGCTGGTACGATTGTGGTCGTCTGGTCTCGTGAATAACCTTTCTAGAGTAGAATAATTTTTCCAGCAGAAAAAATCGTTCTGTAGAGTTGCCGTGGCGTCTTGCATTTTGCAAACGCAATATCTCGGTTGGACCCAGATGTTGACGCGCAAATAGGCGAAAAAGACGACGCGTTGACAACAACGGCAGTGGGCTACAGCAATGACGCTAGCTTCGACAACGATTTCCCTGTTAATAACAAAACTAACTGACCTAACAGATCTATGTTATCACTAACTGAACAACTACTAGCTAGGGACGTCTGTTACGAAACGATTTTCTGTAGGAAACAGCTAGAATGTATCCCAGAAAAAAAAAAACAAGAGTTACGTGAAGCGGTCAACGGCTCTGAGGACGATTGAAGTCAGTTGAAGAATGACTGGGAGAGGAGTCGGCACGACGAAACTTCGACGTCCAACAGGAACTTATGAAACTTTTCTCCTCAAATACAATAGCTGTTACTATCGTGAGTCGTAGTGGTCTTTGTCTGCGACTTGTCTACCGTCTATTTAAGCTGTTCGCTCATTTGGTCGAATTCCGTGCGGCTTGCTTGGGCCTCAAGAAAAACAATGAATGCGTATTACATAATCGTATTGTACAAAAGAGACTGTGTTTAAGAGATTTCTATAGTTGTGTGCGGGAAGCTTCTCCAACGTTAGATTCGAATTCCGCTTTCAGTCGTTTTTACCTACAACAGCTAAATTGCCGCCGAACGTCACCTTGTATCTGCCCGCACTGTCACAAGATTGCGCTAGCATTGTGGCGAAAAATCTAGTACGCTATCACCGCGACATTATATTATCAGAGACCCAGGGACCGGACAGAGGTATAACGCGTCTTGTATGCTTTTCCCCGCGTCTTGTACTTTTCACGAGAAAAAATTATCATTTTATGGGTGCTCGAAGGGCAAACAGGAAGGAGATGGCCGAACTAGGCGACTCACTAGTCATCGCCTACTCTGTTGCGTTTTTGATGGTGGTACTAAAGTGTAGTATAATGCACACACCAGCGATTCGTAGTCAACGATTTCCTACTGTTGTGCGGCGGGGTGGCATTTACGGTAAGTAGTTCTGTGGTTAAGTTTAAAGGACAGAAGAAATAGCTGTGCACCGATCGAAGATAGAGATGCAGCCGGCTGTTGGTGACGACATAACCAGCGTGACACCACCTGTACAGAGCTCATCGATTGAACTGGTTTTATGGAATGAAAATTGCCTATGCAATAACGTTCGAAGGAATCAGTTCGATGCACGAATCGATGACTCTGCAGGTCAGAAGACTGTGCAGCATAGAAGGAAAACCCTTCGGGAGCGGATCCGTGCGACAATTCACTATATGGGCGGTAGGGGGTGTTGCGAATGGGAAAGGTAGGACAAAAACGTTAAATGTGAGGGAACAAAGCAAGAAATGGCCAAAAAGTAAGTGAGAGTTGACAATCCCGACACCGGCTTCAAAAAGTGCAGTAAAAAAAAATCCTCTATATCTACTTTTTATCTTCGACTGTTTTTTTTTTACTCCGTGCTTGATTTTCTGTTTTTACTTCAGCGCTGATTTCGTTGACTTCGAATTATTATTTGGCGCGTTTTTCTTAACAGCATTTGCTGTTAGTAGAAGAGGGACATCAACTTCAATGGCGACTTTCGTGACAGGGTCCTCCACTACGTCCAACAACGTTTTTTTTTTCTCCTCTTGCTCTATTCTGCCCTGTCGTCACCCCCTTCGATCCTCGCTTGTCCTTTTACCCCCCTTTCTCTGTTCTCCCTTCTCATGCAGGCGTTGCGGTGCGGGAAGCACCACGTCGAGCAAATAGGCTACACCGAACTTCTGTCATGTAATTCTGCTGCCAGCTATCAGCTGCTGTACATTAGAAATTCCACAGCCCACCTGCCGATCCACCCGTTACAAACGGAACGGGTCTGTAGCCATTAACAGAGACGAATTGCATCAACAGCAACAGTAGCGGCGGTCAGGTAAATTAGCAAATGATCGAATCAAAACTGATCTGAATTAAAAAAAAAACTGCCGCTGATCAAGCAAGCAACGCCAGCTTGTAGGCTATGAGCTAGCAGTGAGATAGAGAGTAACTATTACACCGTATATGTCGTGAACAAGAGTAATACTCATCAAACAAATTGGTGTATTCGGTGCCGGAACCAATGGAACTAAACGGGAAAGTAGACTTCGGATCAAGTGATGTTCAATGCTAAACATCGATTTCGTTGTTGAGCCCCAGAAGGAAACAAACCGAGAAATAGAAAATCTGATTTGAGCGGTTAACAATCAGATGGCCAAGTCTTGTTGCAGGTGATACCGTCAATTTGGTTGACAGTTCGCTACAACAGGTCGTTGGATTCGTGCCGTCATAGCAAATCATCGCAAAGTCTTATTGTCGCCGATTCGATTGCCATATAAGTACTTCCTACAATGGACGTAACCATGGTTTTGATGTGAGAAATTGTGGTACAACAGTAAGAGCTTCGGTAGTGGTGAAAAGAAAAAAAACGTTTCGCCGCCGTAATAGAGATCAGCAAAGTGAGATGACAAACGAGGACTGGGTTTTGCCGAGAGGGGGCGACAGAATGGAAAACAACTTGACAACAAGCCGGACGGCGGACCAACCACACGCCAGATAGAAGTCAAAAAAGGTATCACAATAAACATATTAGAAAGTTGCTACCGGCACGAAGTCGTAATAACAGTGGAAGACAAAGTGGTCGTGAATTCGGTAAAAAGAGACGTTCGTCCAGCTTCTATGATTGTAGCCAACGTTGTTTTCGTGTTTCTACCTACTTCTTTCAGTGACATGATGATTCGCGCTAAATGGGACATCAGTAAATCAATATAGCTACATAACGTAGCGGATGTAAATACGTAATACTCAAGCTGTTGGCAGCGGCTCGCTATTTCTAGCGTAGTAGGAACAAAACAACAGCAACAGCAACAACAAGAACAACAGCAGCAGCAGCAACAACAACAACAACAACAAAATGTAGATAGACAGTTGCCAATGGCAATTCAAAAGGGGGGATGGGGAAGGGGAGGGGTCGGAGGGCGGAGAGGTCGGAGCGGCTGAGGTGGAGGGAAGGGAAAAAGCACAAGGCAAGTAGGACTGTGCTTGTCGGAGCTCTCTACTACGTCATAAGGGCGAGTCGTTCACACAGATTGATATTTTATTAGCCGGTTTTTGTTCGATCAAATCAGTGAGTGGACGTAGATTACTCATCGAAGACGACGATGATGGCGGTCGAGGCAGTACGATGATCAAAATGCAGGTTGTTTTCGTGTCTTTTTTTGATTTAGCCACTGCTGCGACTCCTGCGGTTCGAGTGTCCATTTGTAGTTGTCTATTGCTAGCGCGCCTGTGCGCGATAACTGCTACTGTGACTGGCAATAGTAGCCGCGACTTCAACTATACATACATGGCACCATAGGTAGCGTGGTGTGGTCGGCGGTAAAAACGATGTTGAGATTTGTTCCGAGACAAACAAATTCATCGTCGAACAGGAACAGGAATACGAACGCACACACACTCGAGATCAGGCATCCAGCGGCAGCGAAAATCAAAAGCGATGGCCATAGAACTTCTGCCGGTCGTTGCGCTGGTGATGCCAGCGAAAAAAAAAAAACAAGCGGGAATCGTAGCCTGAACTACGGTCAGATCTGCTAGCGGTACAACGGCCAATCATCGCTACTTTATAATCTATGATATTGTAGATTCAGCGTATTGAAGTGTAGCTCAGCTTTAGCGTAAAGCAGAGGTAGTGGTTAGATTAGCGGGATACGTTTTTTGAGTGCGAAAATAACAGCGCGATGGCTGGCGCTCACCGTCACGCATAAAGTTGTGAACAGTGAACGAAAACCATGAGCGCTGACAAACAATAACACAATCCGATCTGATCTGATCTGTTTGATCAGTCGAAGATGGCGATGGTCATAATGGTGTTTGCAGAAACCCTGCAGTTCGTCTATTGTTGTAGAAATTTGTGGAAGAAAAACTAAAGTCAAAGGAAAGCATCCAGCAGACAAGATAGAAAAAAAAGAAGGTGCGTGGTCAAACTCTTCGTCAAAGTGGACACTTCACCTTGTCAATTCCTGATGAAGGCATTACCTTTTTCTTCGCCGTCTGTAACAAAAAAGAGACGAGTGTTAGTTTTCAATGAACATACGATCGATAAATAGAAAAAATATATAAAGAACATTCTCTTCTTATATAACGTCGTATGTATATGCATTCTCTTCGGCACCAGTAGTAAATTACCGTATCCAAGTCAATTAAAGTATATTGTATAATAAACGATTATAGCATTCACGGAAAATCAGAGATAAAGTCTAACAGCATTTACACACGAACTCAGCTAAGTAGCAACAATGCTAGCAATTTATTGCTAATTAATAATAATATGCGTCAATTGGAAGCGTAATAGATTAGGTTCATACCAACAAAGATAAATCACCTTATTAAATATAATAAATTTACGTTATTTTTGTCGAAATTGCTACCTCCTATTTTCGATTTACTAAACCCTGGGAGACATATGGAATAGTTTGATCTAATCTATCTGTTCTACTAATCTATTCTCAGCTTCCGTGCTTCTCTCTCTAGCCACCTCTCGCAACACCTATTCCTCTGGTACGCACGGTAGCCCTGAACATGCGCAATTGATGGTGCCCTGATGCACCTAAACGAAGCTAACCTATCGCAGTCGACGAATTTACTGCGTCACACTACAATAACGATGATCCCGATAATGATAACAATACGGACCGCTCGTTTCTCCATTGCTTCCATTAAAATATTAGCGGCACTAGCAGTGGCGGAAGTTAATAGTTTGTTCTGCCTGCATTTTCGGCCTTTCCACTAACCTCGCTACTCGTAATAGCCACTTCTGCATTACCCCCGGTTAACCCTCAAGTTCCCTCGGGATTTACGAAGGGGTGGTCCTCGCGCCGCCTCTTCTAAAGTTATCATCTGGAAAACATTTAGTAAGGGCGTAGTCTGGCAGAGGTCTGCGAGGGCGAGTCGCCGAAAGCTCGGCACTCGTTAAGCTGCTACCCGCATGTAGTTCTTCTGATTTTGCCCCTTTACTTGTTAACGGTCTTTTTCACGCCCGCTAGTTCATCTATTTGCTGCTAGTCGGCCTACCGCATCCGCTTCTGCCATTGCTGTTACTGCTGTCACCACGGAAAGTCTACGATTTCATCTATCTACGACGATTTGAGTTATCCGAGTTTTTAGCTTTTTAGCTCGGCGTTGTTCCCTACAGTTCCCTACAGTAGTAACAAAAATGTTGGTATCTTGCATACGTAATTGCGTTTCACTTTTCGACCTCGACGGGCCCTCACCCCCCAGTATCCCATCCAGACAAGACTTTCTTTTTTGAAAAAACTTTTTGCTCCTCTCAAAGTCCAAGTAAAAGCTGCCCCATTTGGTGTTGTCCGTTGCTAAGCGCCGGTTGGGAAGCGTCATTCTCTGTTGGCAGTATCGTTGAACAAGAGGCAGAGTCGAGGGGCGGGACGGGTTGGTATCGGCCGGCCTCTCTGCGTTGCCTTCTTTTGTTCAACGAGCCACTGAAGTCCACTTCGTGCTGCCGGTTTGCCACTATTGCATCTACTACGACCGCTACCAGGGCCTGCTGCCCGCTGTACTGACAGCTCCTGCCTCTTTCTCCACCGTACTTCTTGTAGATGTTGACCGACAGGACCAGCGCCAGAGCCATGAGCACACCAACGACACCCGGGTCCTTCATAAAGAGAAAAAAACGAACGACGAAGCCCTCTGAAAGGGCAGTAGAGCGCAACAGCAGCAGCAAGGAGAGTGGTTGGTAGCAACGACAACAACTCAACTCATTGTTGAGTTCTTGTTGTCGTGGTTGGTTTTAGCAGTACCTAACCTAGGGCAGGTAGACGGAAAGAACAAAAATAAGGACTGCATGGGGAAGTTACGAGCGTCGTAAGGAAAGGTCGCTAGCAATGGATAACGTCAGGGGCAGCAACAACAACAACCACGACAACAAGGAGGCCAGCCAATGGCTGAAGAGATTTCTGTACCGCTCTTGCTTAGCAACGTAAAGGCAATGGTGGTGGCGCAGAAAACAGCAGCGGGAAATCGTTTGCTTGTTAGCACCGATGCTACTGCTGTTGCCGTCGTCTCTTGGGAGAGACTGGCCGTACATGAACATATCGTTTACCGCTGTCCGTTATACTGGGACGCCATCAAGCCCAACAATACTGCCAGCATCGCTTTCTCCAGTTTCTTTTCGTTTGACTAGTCCGCCTTTCTGTCTGGATTGCGACCTTTCGCTAGCAATAGAAAAACCGTTTACGAGGGCAGACACTGACGCCGAGGCCTGATTTCGTTTCGCTTTCTGTGTCCGACTAGTTTGCTATTTCTGCCTGTATGATCTCAACGACCCGGATGTGGCGCAGGCAGGCGGAGTAACGAACGACACACAGGCACAATAGGCCTAACTTGCACCACCTTAGAGCATTGGCTAACCCTAACGCAGTGCCGCAAAGGGTCCGTTACCTAAAATAGTTCGACCAAAACTGCTTCTAATCGAGTTAACCTGTTTCTCTGCAAATGGGAATTCGTCCTCTGTCCTTTTTTTGCCCCTGGTTTGCTTCTGGAGCACCTCTTTGGCGCTTCTTAGGATTAATAAAACAGCAGACCTGTAAACTGGTTGCTGTTCCCAAAAACAACTACTTCCACCAATTGTCCGATTAGATCATTGCATCGCATCCATGGTCGGCTGTGGTTGTGTCGGAGTGACAAATGGAATTGTCAACGGCGAGCGCACAATAAGTGAGAAAAGAAGCTCGGGGAGCAGAGGGGATTAGAAACAGATTTTTCGGGACAGTGAAGGCCACAACGAACGGAGGCACCTTCAGTAGTTTGCGTGGACGATGTAGGAGCGACGATGATACGTCAGAGAACAAACGTCGACGTCATTTTTATCGTCTGCATCGAAAAATAATGGCAGATATGGGAACGACAAGAGAAGAAAAATACAAAGTTGTGTAGGAGTAATCCAGGGGGTCGTGAGAGGAGCTATGTAGGAACGAGCGAAAAGTAAATAGTGGGGCAATCCAATGTTGGAAATGAAGAGAGGCAAGCGGAAATTGGCACGTCGGATTTTCAATATTGGTTCGATCGCTGATTCACGCGTTGATATCAAGGGGAACGGGTAAGACCGGGGATTAGAAGCACCAGTAATAAAACACTGCTCGGGTCGCAGCAGGATGATAAGGGGTTACCTATGGTCGAAGATGGCTCTCCTTCGACCAAGACGAGCGCGAGTGTAAAAGTAAACAACACAAGCGAAACACAATTCTACTTCAGTTTATAAATTTACTGCTGGCCACGTACACGTTACATAATGGACCAAAATCGATAGAAAAAAAAGATAGGCGTTTGGCGGCGCGCCGACCCTGTCTATATTCGAGTTGTCGCATGCAACCCAAATGAACACACGGATACACTCTCTCCTAGTCCGGCCATTGGCACTTTTTTTTAATCGTCAGGCGATGATCAGATCGCCACTTCATGCAACAACCTTTTTAATTACGTGACGATCAGCTATTTTCATGATGATAATGGTAATAAACATTTACTCAGTGCTGTGTTTAAGCAATAGACTGCAAAACCGACGATGCGTCAGAGATTCTCCGGAGTGAAATAAAAATCAAGGCTTGAACCGTCCGTTGCTATTGCTAAATGTTTATTGGTGTATTCACTAGCAGCGATATGTACGAAAAGAAACAGTACGAATATCGATCGTGGCTGTGCTGTTACAACGCTATACTCTGATGAAAGGTGGAAGAAATGTGGCGGCATGAGGAAAACGAAGCAATTAGCAGCAATTAGAATGTCCTCCGAAAAAAGCTGCCCTGAAGCGTCCCATTGTTGTTCCTGCTGTTACCGTTGCTACCGCTGTGGCTGTTGTTGTCGGCGCCACAGTGCAATGACCATATATCTATAAGGTATCGGCAGATTGTTCTACTGGCGATGTTTCTGCTATCGCTTTAGTTGTACCGGCTCAAAAATACCAGGGAACAGTTTCAGTAGCCGAGCGGTCGACATAAGACGCAAGGCCGCACACGGCCGATACAGACACGACCAAATGAAACGATCGCATTGTTACAGGAAACGCCAGAGCCGTCATGGCAATAATAGCAACAGTCGGCAGTCGAGTTGCAGCGTCTTCGAGCTCACGTCTGCGCTGTGCTCATGCCAATGCCGGTCGCTGCTACAGCCAAACCAACAAAAACAGCAGAAAGCAATAGTGGCTCTGACGAAGCATGAAAACAGTCGCAGAAGATCAGTCCGACTGTACAAGAAACGGAAGAGTACCGGCAGTACATGATGGAGTTGCTCTGAACAGGAATGAGAAGCTTATTGCATTGGTGACTCTCCACGTCTATAGATGCATGTTGGCAATGGTGTCATCACCAGTGCACATAAGTAGTCCTTATTGTTACTGTGTGTTAGTATAACCGTTCTGCTCTGATCAGGGGTATAACTGCTGCGGTTGTCATTTTGCAGTATCCTGTGACACCGCGCAGAGTTCTGCCTCGCTTTGTTCCATTGCTGTAGCAATGAAAGAACCTGAGCCAAAGAGGTTAAACGAGCGGATTTGATACGGCCAGCAATAAAAGTCAGCGCTATGACTGATAGTACAATAATACGATAGATATGAGCGATAGCAGCGGCAGACACAAGGAGAAGAACGCCGTCCGCCGTTGACTCAATGCCGAGAAGACGCCACGGGACAGCTGAAGGGCTGAACTAGTCGTAAACAGCAAACAGCAGCCGAAACTAACAGGCCACCAATAGCAAATAGCAACGAAACGAGTTTGTACTGCCACCTCATCCTGTCCTAGATGAGACTCGAGCAACGACAGCTTCGACGATCAACACGAAGAGCAACGATCATCCAATCGATCGGTACCCTCTCTGCGAGCCAGATCGCTACTATGGCTCCAACTGTGGCAATTTGTTGCTCAGCTTAAACGCCTCTGAGCGTCGTTGGCGCTGCGGCAGCAGCAGCTTGCCCCCACTGCGGTTTGCGGGGATGGCAGCAGCGGTAACAGAGCTTCGATCGAGTCGCTTTCTTTCGCCGTTGT